TCCTCCTCCTCCTCCTCTCTGCGAACCCCACCCCCTTCTAGCACTGATGACGTTCCCTAGCTGGGTCATGAAACGTCCGCAAGAAAGCCCCCCAGCTCAGAGAGCACCAGGGACCCCACAGTCGTCGTCGTCCTCCTCCTCCTCCTCTCTGCGAACCCCACCCCCTTCTAGCACTGATGACGTTCCCTAGCTGGGTCATGAAACGTCCGCAAGAAAGCCCCCCAGCTCAGAGAGCACCCGGGACCCTCATTTCAACCTTCAGCTAGAAATACTCTCTTCTCTTGCCGCATTCGGTGTTATCGTGATTCTGCCCTACAGGGTTGGGGGTGCAAGGCTGGGCCACTGACGAGCCGCTGTCCTTCCTCCCTCTCACAGGCACTGCTGCCCTCACGGATCCCGAGAAACCGACGGCGAGAGAGGCATGAACTGACCCCCTCGCCAGGAAGCCTTCGAACGCGTCCCCCCCCTCCCCCAGAGCCATGGCGGACGGGCCTTCGCTCGCCCTGGCCGAGTGGCTCCAAAAACTCCGCCTGGACCAGTACGTCGAGACCTTTGAGCAGAACCAGCTGAGATGCCTCCAGGACTGCCAGCACCTGACCGACGAGGGCCTCACCCGCCTCGGGGTCCTGCTGCCCGGCCATCGCAAGCGGATCCTCTCCGGGTTGAGCAAATTCTTCGCCGAGTTGCCGTCCAGCGCCGGACGTCCCCAGCTGCCCCCGAGGAGGCCCGTCCCCAAGAAACGCCACATCTTCCGGACGGCTGGCTCTCTGCCGGACCAAGAGGCCAGGCGTGACTTGGCAGGACCAAGTGGCAAGGAGTCGCCCCCGGAACAGGGTTCCGAAGCCTCCGTCGGCCTCCTCCTTATTCCTCCACCTATCCCTCCGAGGACAAGTTGCCACCCTCCCGTAAAGTTCTCCGCTTCTTTCCCGGAATTCCCGGCCGATGTTTGCTCGGACCCCGGTTGCCCTTCTCCGCAGCCGGCTTGCGAGAGACTCAGCCCCCCATTTCCGGGGGAGGGGGCCAAGCCCCCCCTGCCCCCTCTGCCCGCCAAACGCCACCAGCTGGAGAGCAGGCCGTCCCTCCCGCCGGCGGCACCGCCCGTCCCCCTGCGCCCACCCACGCTGCCTCCCCGGGTGGTCTCCCAGAGAGCCCTGCCAAGGTAAGCTGACACCTGTGTGCGCGACAGGGCGGGGAGTTGTGTAAGTGTGTGTTGTACGTGTGTAATGAGAGATGCTTCCGCACATCTCCAAGCAACAGGAAGGCGAGAAAATGGAAGGCGACACCTGGATTATTTTGGTACGGTGTAAAGTTGTGTGTTAGGCACAGCGCAGGTGGTCCTCGACTTAACGGCCCCAGAATTTTTGTTGCTAAAAGAGGCAGGTGGTTAAGCGAGTCTTGCCCTCTTTTACGACCTCTCTCGCCGCGGTCGTTCAGCGGATCACTGCCGTCGTTCAGCTAGCAGCATCCCCGTGGTCGCGAGATCAAAAGACGGACGCTGGGCAACGGACTCACATTGGTGACATTTATTGCAGCGTCCCGGAGTCACGTCATCCCCTTGCGCGACCTTCCTTCTGACGAGCAGAGTCCGGATTCACTTAACAACCGTGGAACTGACTTAGCAGCCGCGGTGATTCGCTTAACGATGGGGGCAAGAAAGGTCACCAAATGAGGCGTGACTTCGCTTAACTACCGCCTTGCTTAGTGATGGAAACGTCAGGCTCAGTTGTGGCCATACGTCGAGGATCACCTGCAGGGCAATAATCTCCAGTCAACATCTCTGCCACTATTTTCCCAAACCTTCCGTGACCATCTTCCAGTAAAACAGGGGTCCTCAACCATGGCCGCTTTAAGACTCGTGGACTTCAACTCCCAGAATTCCTGAGCCAGCCATGCTGAGGGGAAAGGGAGAGGTTTCCAAGCTGAGCCACGCTGGCTGAGGAATTCTGGGAATTGAAGTCCACAAGTCTTAAAGCGACCATGGTTGAGGACCCCTGCGTCTAAATGAATTAAATCCCAGTCTAATCTTGCTTTCTCCTGATGGGGGCCTCCAAATACATCCAAACCCACAACTCCTGAACATCATGGGCAGTTCTGGCTGGGAATTATGGAAGTTATCATCACCACACATCCGAAGGAGATCTTAGGCCGAACCTTATGCTTGGGATTGGTCTAGGCCAGAGGTAGGCAACCTTGGCTCTTTTATGACTGGTGGACTTCAACTCCCAGAATTCCTGAGCCAGCATGGGGGAACTATGGCTCCTTCATGACTTGTGGACTTCAACTCCCAGAATTCCTCAGCCAGCATGAGGGAATTATGGCCCCTTCGTGACTCGTGGACTTCAACTCCCAGAATTCCTCAGCCAGCAGGGGGAAACTTTGGCCCCTTCATGATTTGTGGACTTCAACTCCCAGAATTCCTGAGCCAGCATGGGGGAACTATGGCCCCCTTCATGACTCGTGGACTTCAACTCCCAGAATTCCTCAGCCAGCGTGGCTCAGCTTGGAAACCTCTCCCTTTCCCCTCAGCACGGCTGGCTCAGGAATTCTGGGAGTTGAAGTCCACGAGTCATAAAAGCGCCAAGGTGGCCTACCCCTGGTCTAGGCCCTGTTTACCTTGGCAATTTCCAGGCGTGTGGACTTCAACTCCCAGAATTCTCCTGTGTGGCCACAGTGGCTGAGGAATTCTGGGAGTTGAAGTCCACGAGTCTTAAAGTGGCCAAGGTTGAGGACCCCTGCAGTAAAAGACACAGCCGTCTCAGCCTGTTAACCAGTTCTTCCAGCTCCTTAACCCTCCTTCAGCCTGACCTTAGATCCACCCCTAACTATCATAGCAACCAGCTTCGCCAAGCCACTGTTTTCTCAGCCAGAAGTATTTGCAGAAGCAAGTTTCTGGTTCCCTGGAAGGAAAAGTCCTGGCCTCATGTTGCAATGACACGTTGGCCAACCGTTGCGAGGAAAAAGGGGCCGGTCGCGGAAGGCAGAAGCCCGGGTGCCCAGAAGGTGCTCTAGGGCAGGGGTTCTCAACCTTGGCAACTTTAAGACTTGTGGACTTCAACTCCCAGAATTCCTCAGCCAGCTTTGCTGGCTGAGGAATTCTGGGAGTTGAAGTCCACAAGTCTTAAAGTTGCCAAGGTTGAGAACCCCTGCTCTAGGGGACTCAACACCCTTTTGTTTATTTCATTTATATCCCGCCTTTGTTATTTTTTACAAATAACTCAAGGTGGCGAACAGACCTAATGCTGAGAAAGCTGAGAAAAATAGCTGCAGGAGGTTCCCTTTTCCCTAGAAAAGGTCCTGCAGAGCATAAACAGAGGGCAGACCTCACGTGGCCTCCTTTGAAGGAACCGGTGGTTTCCTGGCTGCCCTTCTTCTCTGGAAGCCCTCGGCCTAACCAGGATCGGCGTGCATAAAAAGGGAAGGTCCGTACCTTCCACCACTGAGGACAGGGAGAGAATCGGAAACGACGGGCCATAAACCCTGACTCAAGTCTCAAAGATTTACATAGAATTCTAGGCCTGAAAGGACTTCAGAGGTCATCTAGTCCAGAGGTCCCCAACCTCATGGCCACCGGGCCACGTGAGTAGCTGGGCAGTACACGCGCATGTGCACGTGCTCACCCCCCTCGTGCCACCGTTGCCGTGACTGTTGTGTGGGTGGTGGCAGCGCCGCTAGTATCGTGCAGGTGGCGTTGTTTCCACGAACCTCGCGTGGGGGGCAGCAGCGCCGTGAGCGGCAGGTGGGCGGCGGTGCATCACACGCAGGTGGCGGCATTGCCACGAACCTTCTATTCCGTGCGGCCGGCCTGGCGTAGTTTGATTATATTTCAGTGGGGGTTTTGTATGGGGTACTTTTAGAGCAGGCCTGTTATTTAATTTGATTTTAGAACAGAAACTCGTGTATATTTATTGTGGTTTTTATTATCGCCTGTTCACCGCCTGAGTCCCGTAAGGGAGATAGGGCGGTATATAAATTCAATAAATAATAATAATAATAATAACACGAACCTCGTGCAGGGGTGGCGGCGCGACCCTCGCGCTGGGGCGGGATCACTGCGGGCCGCCGTGCAATCCTCGCTGTGGCAGACTGTGGCAACTTTGGGTGGGTCAGTAATGAGCGATTGTAAATCGAGGATTACTGGTAATTTGGAGTTCCTTGTGTCTCCCACCCAAGTGCTAACCGGCTCCGTCCCTGCTTAGCTTCAGGTAGAATCAGGCAGGCACTGCCACCTGCTGGCCCATTTCAACATGACATCAAAAACCAGACCTGTGTACTTGAGTCTGTTCCAAATGGGAATGAAAAGGAACTTTTAACTTGGGTTTTCCACCCAGGTGATAATCTCTACTGAGATTATCGTACGGATGTAAGAGAAAAGTAAAGGATGCAACTTTCTAGCAAGGGCAGAGTGTGCAGGAAGGGGAATTGAGCAAGTCGAGAGGGCCTGGAGACTAAAAGATATAAGGAACGGCTGCTGGAATTGGGGATGTCTAGTTTAATGAAGAGAAGGACTAGAGGGGACATGATAGCAGTGTTCCAATATCTCAGGGGCTGCCCCAAAGAAAAGTTGGGGGGTCCATCTATTCTCCAAAGCACTTGAGAAGCAATGGATGGAAACTAACCAAAGAGAGAAGCAACCTAGAACTAAGGAGAAACTTCCTAACAATGAGAATAATTAACCAGTGGAACAGCTTGCCACTAGGGATTGTAGGTGCTCCATCACTGTAGGTTTTTAAGAAAAGATTGGACTACCATTTGTCTGAAATGGTCTGTGGTTTCTTGCTTCAGCAGGGGGTTGGACTAGAAGACCTCCAAGGTCCCTTCCAGCTCTATTCTGATTGATTGATTGATTGATTGTATCAGGCTGGGGATGATGGGTCAACCCTGATGGGTGCCACTGAGTTAGTGTGAGTCCTACTAAGAGGACTGAACCAAGGGATCAACTGCAGTTTTATTCAAAGCTATTTTTTTATTCAAATTGGCTATATCGTAACAGAATTTGGCCAATCGGATTGTCCTGAGTCTCCTTTTTTCCTTAATTTTCCGTGAATTAAGGTGGTGCCCGTTTTAGCCGCTTCTTAATGTGACCTCTCTATTGTGGAATTAAAATAGTTTTACCTTTTGTCGACCTGGTACAGGTACTCCTTAAGTTACAACAGCACTGGAATAAGTGAATAAGTTTTTCACACTTACGACCGCTGCAGCCTCCCCGTAGTCATGTGATCAAAATTCAGACGCTGGGCAACCAACTCATATTTATGACGGTCGCAGCGTCCCCAGGTCATGTGATCCTTTTTGCGACCTTGCAAGGAAAGTCAATGGGGAAATCAGATTCACCAACAACCATGTTAACAACTTAACAATTTAACAACTGCAGGGATTCAGTTGTAAAAGGGGGCAAAACTCACCTAACAACCGTTTTGCTTAGCAACAGAAATGTTAGGCTCCAGTCGAGGATGATCTGTGTTTTATTTTGCTTTTTATTTTACTTTGCTCAAACGTGGTCTCCTGCTTGAGGGGGTGGACTAGAAGACCTCCAAGGTCCCTTCCGGCTCTGTTATTCTGTTATTCTGCTCTGTATTCTGTACTCTACTTTTTTTTTTATTTTACTTTACTTTTATTTCCTTATCTTTCAGACCTGGGAACAGTAAACTTAGAGGCCGGGAGAGAAAAAAACCCACAAAGATAAACACTGGTGTGAAACAACAAGCATTGTTGTGTCTTCAGAAATTCAGAGCGGGCAGAGGCGCCTCTGAGCTTCTGGCAGGGAGGGTGGAGGGGAAGGAGAACTGCACCTAGCAAAAAACACACACACAAACACACACACACACACACACACAAACACACACACACACACACAAACACACACGGGGTTCTTGTCTCATCCTTTTCCCTAT